GCCACGCTAGTAGTAACAGGTGCCATACTAGTAGTAACAAGAAGCTAGTGGGTTGGAGGCCATCGCTACTAGGGTGGAGGCCATCGTTGCTAGTAACAAGAAGCTTCTAGTAACAAGGTGCATCACTACTAGTGGCAAGGCACCTTGTTCCTAGTAGCGATGCCCTTTGTCCACTAGAATATTCAATTAGCCTGTAGGAAACTTGCCTTGAATTACGTGGGTGGAAGACAATTATGGAATTAAAGGATCCTGATTCGTCTTTTCAAGTTCATTGAAGATACCCGGAAAGACGAAGGAATATAGAAAGGTGGCCTCCAACCTACTAGCGATGGCCAAAAGATGATACAGTAATTGATAACCTCAAAAAGTCAAAAAAGATCATGCAGGAAATAAATTCATTGGATGTCAAAAAAGACGATGTCATTGGATGCAAGAACGCACTTTGCATCGTCTTCCGAGGCCATCCTGAGACGGGTGCCTTCTTCAGGAACCCCCTGCGTGACAAGGCGATGTTCACCCACTTGGAAGTCATGGACAAAGAAGTCATTAGAATTAATAAGCTACTAGTAACAAGTGCATCGCTACTAGTAACAAGTGCCTTACTAGTAGTAACAAGAAGCTAAGTCATCGAGCAAATGAGTTAGAGAGGACCTTTTATAGTCTTCAGAGGTCCACAAAGAGGATGTCACGATGTCCTTGTATGTACCTTTCAGTGGCTGAACAGTGTAGTTGACCAGAAATTGATTTGAAAGGAAACCAATCAAAAGCAGCGATGAAGCGCTTTGTAGTGGTCAGCAAATTGAAGGCAGACAAGCCAATCCTGATGTCCTTGGGAGAGTCTTGCCCTCAATGCTTTGTCTTGGACGCAAAGCCATGGATTCTTGCTTGACTGGTTGAAAGTTCGGGCAACGTTAAATGCTGGTTGACAAGGTATGACTTCAATTGCCTAGATGACGCTTTGCAGACTTGGCACTGTTCTCCACTCAGCGGTCTCTGACATCGTTCCGTCAATGGAAGCCATTTGCGATACATTGCCGTGTTACCTTGCCGTGCAGGCGTCAGTATGCCAGAGTCCGTGTTTCGAAAGACCGTGCAAGGGCCACAGCAGACCTTTCTCAAACCTTTTGTTCGATCAGGCTGTGGATGAGAAAATAAATCTAAAGTATTTGCTAGATAAGTGAATAGTTACCCTAAAAGTCTAGGAACCAAATGAATGGTGCGAGCGCTTCTTCAAGGAAGCTTCCCCCGCCACCTTAAGAAGCGTGAGCTATCCTGCGTCCTGTCGCTAGTAGCTTACTTGTGGGGCGTAGGTACTAGCTACCTCTTCTACTAGCTACTTCTAGCTAGCTACCTCTACTCGGCCTACCTTTCTCAGCGTTTCTTTGTTTCACTGAGGATGGGCAAAGCTGCCATTGAACCCACTGCCATTGATCCTTTGCAGAAAGCAGCACTACGTCGCTTAGAGCGAGTCACAGGCCAAAGGGATAACTCAGATAACTCAGGGTTTGAAGCTTCCACTCGCAAAAAATGGAAAAGTGGTCGAAGAAAAATGGAAAGAATGGAAACGCTCCGGTTTCTCCTTAAAGATGTCTTGTCAGCAGGGACCTACGAGTTCGTGGTTACAGTGCGGAAGACTCAATTCGTCCTGGACTTGGCTTGTCCTGATGTCCCAATGTCGGAGTTTATCCAATTAGCCAAGCACTTGCCCGGTTTGCTGGATCAAAGTTGTGAATCCACCACCATATCATAGACAATGAGAGAGTGTTGAGACATGCAGTTGTGGCTTTTGTGATTTAGATGGTTGCTATGAGGTTGGAGGCCATTGCAATTAGTAACAAGAAGCTACTAGGGGCTCCTGGCCTTACTACTAGGAGCAAGGACGCTATTAGGGTGGAGGCCATTCCTATTAATTAGTTGCTGTTTAGTTGGTTTTCTTTGAGATGTTTCAGACTGAACAGCTCTAGGTGGCACCGCGAGGACATCGCCGCCATGGTGCTGTGAATCCACAAGCAGTGACACTCAGTGGCGTGAGGCTTCCCGTGTCGCGAAAAGAAACTGCAAAAAGTATCTCAAGACCGGAAAAAGCAAGGGCACCTCCACAGGCGAACAATCACAAGCTAATCAGGCCGTTTCAGATTCATAACGTCCAAACTCGGTTGAAGCCGAAGCTGCTTGAGGCCATTCATTTAGAGAAGCTCTACCTGGATGTGGTGCCTGAGATGGATGGCTTGAGGTGCCAAATGGTGCGGAGTACTCTTCCTAACCTAGAAGCGATGGCCTCCAACCTACTAGCGATGAATGATTGATGAAAACACTCGACGTTACGAATGGGCTTATCTTCTCTTTGGAATGCCACAGGCTACGAGTCGAGTACATCGGCGATGGTTTGGCAGGGATTCTCAGCCCTCTAGGTTGGAGAAAACCGAAGAGGAGAAGACTCGAGATGTTCAAATTGCAAGCAGAACGCTTCTGTGAAAGTGTCATATTTGTAGTGGTACCTCTTAAAATGAATACTTTCTTAACTTCTGTCTTACATTTCTTTGTTTTCTATCCCTCGCCATGAACGAAAGCACTTCCTCAATTTTGCTTCTTTCAGGTCGCTGCCTGGAATCGAGCGAATCCATACTTTGCCGCAAGGACCTTAGATACCCAGTGCTTTGTTGCATGCGTAGCATTTACCACTGGAAGGGATGGTGTGAGGTCTTAGATGCGAATGTCCAAACCTGTTCATGAAACGTTTACAAAGAATGCATTTCCTAGCAATGACCTCCAACCTAAGAGCGATTGCCTCCAACGTAATAGCAAAAGGAACCTAATAGCAATGGCCTGAAAGTGAAAAAGTCTTCATTTGAAACTGAAAGATTGAAAGACCTTCCAGGGAACCAACCTTCAGAGAGCCTTGCTCCCTAGCTACCTCAAGCGCATCCTGAGTTAGATAATCTCCCATGGGCCAGGTGCGACCAAACGATTGCATTGTGAAAGTCGATGCCTCCCCAACATGTGATTCTGGACATGAAATATGCAACTCCACTTGTGTGGTTCTTTGTTTTGTTCAGACTGGTCGTTTTTCTATCGTTTCTCCTTCTGTTTTGCTTTGCTCTGCTTGATAAGAAAATGTTGTGCACGCGCACACAGCGACACCCCGTGAGCCTTGCCTGGCTCGCCAGGGAAAGCACAACAATCTCGTGAAGGCGATCACAGCTGCAGAGGACAGGAAGAACACGCATCACTTCGAGCACAGATTAATTCTATTTTAATTCTATTTATTTGTTGTTTCTAACAGCTTCTTGCTCCTAGTAGTATGGCCAGGAGCCCCTAGTAGCGTCCTTGCTCCTAGTAGCGATGCCCTTTGCTCCTAGTTTCGCTGTTGAACACCTGAATAGAGGCTTTCCAAGCTCACTTGACGCACTGTCAGGATGTGCTGAAGTTGACCATGCAGCGAGTGTGGTTGGCTTAAGAGAAGTTTGTGAGACCAATGTGTCGAACGGTCGGTCCTTATCTCTTGTCTTTGCATTACAAGCTTCTTGGCACTACTAGTAACAAGTGCCACGCTAGTAGTAACAAGTGCCTTGCTAGTGGTAACAAAAAGCTTTGGACAATACGTTTATCTTATGGATGCCAATAAGGACAGATCGGACAGCGTCCAAAGCAAGCATTTACACAGAGCTGGCAACTGAGATACATGCTTGATGAGCTCGTGTTCAAGATTAGGCCTAGCGAAACTAGTAACAGGTGCATTTCACGCTACTAGGAGCTCCCGGCATCGTTACTAGTAACAAGTGCATTTCTACTAGTAGCAAATAGCTGATGCACTTGTTACCAGTAGCGATGAGCATAAACCATAAGCGACAAGGAGCCACACGACATGGGCCACACGCCTCAAGTCTTTTTTCCAAGTTGCCCTGAGGGAAATGATGCCAGGGGAGGCCGCAGGTGCTTGAAAGCACTTGGAATTGTTGAGTTTGATTTTTGTCGTCTGCTTCAAGCGCATTTGCCTTGCAAACGCAAAGCTGAATGCACTCTGTGCTTTGAAAAGCAACAGGGATCCCACAGACGAGCTGGAGAGAAGTTCTGTAACAAGTTTTGACAAGTAGATAGGTTTGGTGCCCACTTCTTCCAGCAAATCGAAGCTCTTGCAGCAATCGTAGGCATGCTTGATCATTTCCAAGAAATGAAGGATCAATCGATTGTTTTGGCAGAGTGTTCGGCTATGCAGAAAAGCGTGAAGAACGGTTTTGCAGATTTGCACACCAAATAAGCTGAATAGTTTCTGCTCCTTGGTTTGGCCACGAACTGCATTGGGAAGGGACAAGCCTGAATAGTTGCGAGTGACACCTTACTCTCACCTGCTTCCAAAACAAAGGAAACGAAACATCAAACCAAAGGTTAAAGAAAAGATTAATCCAAATATTGGTTCCAGAAACGGCTTTGTCGATTCAACGCCTCACCTCCAATGGTTCAGACCGGCTGGTTTGGGGCGTGCAAAGATTACTTTGGAAGACACCAAGGGATCCAAAGTTTGGTGGGACTTCTGGACCAGGGAGCTGAGACAAGACATTCAGGGGCTCTGCAAGTGCCCAGAGAGAAGTTGTTTTGACCGGTTTGTCACTTCAGGACAAAGGGTGCATCATGTTCAATCTCACGTTGCCCAGAAGAACCTTCAGTAGACGGTGGCCTAGCTTTTAAGTACTTGCCTTTGGGCTCCCTTCAAACAATGTACATGAGGGATTCCGAAAGCTTCAAACAAGATCTGATTTGGTTGCATCTCGTTTGCAGAGCATTGCTTCCCCACAAGATCCTGACAACAGTATGCTGTAAGCCAGTAGGCAGGGAAGCTTAGAATGTCTTTCCAAAAGTAAGATTAGATGCCGCACCAGTGTGGAACTTTCCTATCGTGATGGGACACACAAAAGTTTGTGTATGCGTGCAGACAATCATTTGGTTCACTGTCAAAAGAACCTAAGTGGACTTGGATCAGATACGGAATGGTTTACAAAATTTGGACATGAGCTCACAGGCGAAGAGTCAAGTTTACCAGATTGCAAGACTGCACGGCAAAAGACAAAGACCCCTTGAGAGCTGTTCAAAGAGGGTCATTTAGGTTCTTAAGTTGACAGGGCATATTATTGGCGAAGCTTTGCGTTCTCATGCCAAGACAGCGCCATGTGTTTTTGGTATTGCTCCTGGCAGCACTTGCTGGGTCAGTGGTGTGGGTGGCAAGGACTGATTCGAGCAAGATAAAGTTGCTGAGCTTTAGTAGAATCAATATTACTTGGGATGGAGATGTGCGCCAACAGCTAGAACGTCTCGCTGGTGAGGTACGAACCTCAACTTCAATCGCGTTGCCCTCCCCACATGCGCCGGCTTCAAAGGAAGAACAGATGGAGCAAGGCCAGCAAGGCATGTTGAAAGCAGCTGGAAGAGATGTTGAAATCCAAACTAACCTTCCATCGGATCCTATCAGCCAAAGCACGAGCAACCCGCCTGCCTCTACAGCTTCAGCTTCCACGTCTACTCCGAAGTTCTCGTCATCCGTTTCCACGTCACCTCCGCCCTCCATTTCGGCCTCTTTGAGGAGTTCCCTTTCTTCCGGCCGTTCCGGGCTCCGGCAGATCTTGAACGAGGTGTGCCAAGTGGAACGGAAAGCTCCTGGTGTTCACATGCGTCACATGCCTTTGGTTCTACGAGAACAAGTCTTTTCTACCTTGGGCGAAGTGATCTCGTCTCAACCTTTGGCTCCACTGGACATCAAGACGAATCCCTTAATGGCTTCGCCACCACAACCGAACTGCCACCTCCCGGCGCTCAAAGAATTCTTGACCGGAGATTTGCGAGAGAAGCCCTTGATGTTGATCGATTTGCCTACAGGCATGCGTGGGTTAACATCAATGTTTGTTGTTTTGTTTGTGTTTTGAATAAAAATGATGTTTTAAAAAAATAACAATAACGTGATTTTACACATGGAAAAATAGAGGCATGGGTGGTGGCCCCGAATTGGAGTTTTTAGAGCTTCGGCTCTTGGAGCTTCAAGACATTGCAGATTTGATGGTGGCAGCGGAGTCCGATTTCACCTTCCGTGGAGATCGAAAGCCTCGACTGTTTCAGAAGAATGCAAATCGCTTCAAGAATTTCAATCATTTGTTGTATTTGGACTTGGATCGTTGTGAACGATTTCGAGCGGCGATCGACAAGACAAGGGCAGAACACGGTCGTTCTCAGGCACAGTCGTTGTGGGCAATTCAGAACACACAAAGACAATGTTTGTGGCAACTGCTTCAGTCTGAGCGACCGAACTTGACGAATGAAACCCTGGTGATCTTCTCAGATTTAGATGAAATCCCCAATGGTGAGCAGATGTTGGCAATGAAGCACTGCGAATGGAAAACGGAAGCCAAGTGTTTCCAACTACAACAGCATGTGGTGACCTTTAACCTTCGTCAGGTTGGAACAGCTGCAGCAGGTTGTTTTCCTCAGAGCCCATGGAAACAAGGACTGCTACTTCAGCTTGGCTGGGCACGAGCTCATGTGTCCATCCCTTTGCGGTTGAAGGTGGCACCGCTCCTGAAAGGTGGCGCCACACATTTGTCACATTTTGGATCGGCGCCTGAGCTGCTGTTGAAAGGTCTTCAACATGGAGAGGGCGGCGGATTGTTTCTGAAGTTTCAGAAGAACAGAACGGCTTGTACTGCTACGGATCAAGATATTGATCAGCTATTGACCACCTTCCGTGATGACCCCATCAGCATTGTGCGAAGTTGGGAGAAGAAGAGTCATCCACTGCCCAAGGCCAAACCAAACAAGGCCACCTTGGAGAAGTGTGGCATCCCCTGGGCGCTTCGGGAGAATCCCCAGCGCTATGTCTCCTTTTGGGGCTTGAGAACCAAATTGGTCCAAAGTGCCAAAGGTCTTCAAGGTCTTCAAAAGGACGAGAGAGTTTGGCAAAAAGAACTTCCCCCAGCTGAGCCAAGCATGGTGCGAGCTTTCGGCTTTGTTTTGTGAATACAGAGAATCTGTTAGGTACGAAACACACAAATTGGCCAAGCTGTAAACTAAGCACTGCAAGTTTGCAGTGCAGGCATGGCACGGGCCGAACGGGAGTAGGTTGGCCCCATACGCCTCATTTTTGTCCCCATAACTGTCATCACATTGTGGGCTGGAGCACGTTTGACTTTCTTGCAGACGGTGCTGATCCAATCATTAATAGCGTAGACTTCGACCCCATAAAATGCCCCAGGTGCAGTGTTCTTGCTGCCAATTATTCGATCGTAGCCGCACATGCAATGCATGGAGATGATGGAGATGGCAATTATGGACTATCGGCTTCTATGGCAAGTCTGGTCCAAAATGAGCATTTCATACTAAGACTGGGGTGGATACAAGAAAGGTCAGCGGTGTTTTCCTGTTCAGCACAACATGGGAGATTTCGCTCAGTCCTCAGACTTTCTTTCTCCAACCTTGAGCTAAGCGTTTGAAGGCAATTGAAGTTAGGACACAAACAGAAATAAGGCAAGCAACACATACCAAGCAGACTTTAGGGAGCAAGTGGAGATCGCACTACTTTTCTAAAGTGAAAATGGAAGCACCTGAAGGCGAAAAGCTGCTGAAACAGCTTCCAATCGCAGAGTCCCAACTCAACCCGACGTTGTCCACAAATTGGCACCACGAGATGCTGCATCCAAAAGCCGTCCTTCCCTGGTGTTCAATGCGGAATCGACATTTCTTTTTGGACTATTTGCAAAAAGTAAGGTTGCAAGAAGGTGGAACAAAAGTCACCCCGGGCAGCAGGGTATTCGCAGGGCGTTTGTAGCAAGCAGTTCATGAGTATATTTTTGGATCGAACCAAATACCTTGCATCAGTAACAAGAAGCTAGTAGAAACAAGTGCCACGCTACTAGGAACAGGTGCCTTACTAGTGGTAACAAGAAGCTAGTAGAAACTAGTCATTTTCGCAAGACCAGCTGTTGCGCCTCAAGGGCAGTCAGAGAGTAGGATAGATTCTGGCTTGCCTGCGGGTTTGTGCAACGCCATGGCATCGGGCATTGTAATTGCTTTGACCCTCATTTTCTTGGGCCACCACATCACGCACTATGGGACACAGGCACAGTCTTTGGCTGTCCGTGCTTGGAAGTTTTTTGAAAGGACCAGCCATTCGTGCACTGACGATGCAGTTCGGGAAGAGCATGTGAAGGCGGCACTTTGGGATTTGCGTGCTAAGATCTACCGACATTGCATCGAGTTTTTGGTGCATGTGGTTGGCTTCGCAATCATTGGCATGGGCTACAAACTGAGCGTCGACCCGTTATCCATGTTTCAACTTGTCCAATTGTGCTTAATGGGCTGCGTTTACACGGCCCACCACTCGGTGTTGAGTGGAAGGTTACAGTTGAATTGGACAAATCTGAGAGGCATTTATTGTGTTTTCTACGCCTCATTCATCATCTTCGTTCTCGTTAACCTTTGGCAAAATGAGACAGCAGCACGTGCTGTTATCAACCAAGCATTCAATGTGTGTTCCCGGATGTGCCTTGTCCATTTCAGCACTTTTCCGGCGCAAAGCAACACATTTTTCTCAAGTCGACAAGATTGTCCACTCAATGCAGTTCTCGGCCATAGTAGCCTGCACTACTTCAGCTGTGTTAATGTTGACTTTTCAGCACGTGTATAGTAAATCAGTTTAAACGGCCAAGATTGTGCTTAAGGCAAGGTTTTATTGATTTTCGCATTTTCTCGGGCAGATCTGGTTAGCTCCATGAAGCTAAAAACACTTGCTCAGTAAACATAGCTAGGGTTGGTTAAAGCCGGAGCTTTACTTACGACAAAGCTACAAGCTGCCAGCAAACCCCTCCATTGAGGATCATGTCCGTGATCTTCATTGACACCTTGACAGCTGCACCAGCACAGATCGCCATATCCATGGCTGAGGTTTTCGAGTATTCTATGAAAGAGGCGTGGGCAAACAAGGTGCAAAGAACAATATAAAAGAATGTCAAAAGAAATTAATATACCCCAAACAGTTTCAGATGGTGTTTTTACGTCAATTCCTTGAATTCCAGTGTTGGTGGAAACGTTTGGTTTGCACCTTTATTCCTATAGCCTCCAGCTGTTTGGGAACAACATGCAATCAAAAACGATGTTTGGGCACGCCGTGCATTCATAGCCAGAGAAAAACAAGAACGGACCCGGACAAGGCCTGGACAAGGCGTGAAGAAAGGGCGGATGGCGCAGCCACGGCCATGGTGGCCGGCCTCTTTTTCAGCAGAGATAACCCTACCAGTGAATCAAGATCCAAAGATTACAAAAAACAGAAAAAGCGATGGCCTCAAACCTAGAAGAAAAAGAAATAGAAAATGTCCGAAAACGTGTTTGTTTCTCGGACTGACGATGGAAGTCGAGAGTAGCACGCTGCTCCGCAACAAGTGGAACCTGTAGCGGAGAAGTTCAGTGTTTGTCAGGGACAGCGTGGAGCCATTGAAACAAAAGACGTCAAGAGTGGAAGCAACATAATAGATAAGCCAGGCTCTGTGTTTGTGATTTTGATTGATATGTTTGAAATACAACCATTGCCAAAACAAGGACTAATTATATGTAGTGTCCATGCAAATAAGTTACAACCTTCAGTCTGGAGACCGTTCGAAAGATTAAAGAGCAAAGGGAGAGGAAGAAGAGAATAGAAGAGAGCGCAAGGCCAAACTAGGACAGACGAAAAGATTAAACAAACAAGTTTAGGCCATCGGTTTTAGGCCTTCGGATCATGAGCAATCAAGTTTGGCCCTGTCGAAGCTGTGAGTTCTCCAAGACTGACTTCCGCCTTTTTAGCTTACCTGTGCTGTGCATCCTCGGATTGCCGGTACATGCTTGCAGGAGGTGGCAGATACCATTGTCTATGCATGGGTTCAGGTTCTCATTTCCGCTGGGATCATTGGTTTCTCAGCAGTCCTGGAGCCACACGGTTGGAATTCTTGCTTAGTTGGCCAGGCCTGGCACTTTTTAACTGAGTTGTTGTGTTTTGTGCTGTTTGATCCCCCGTAGTGACATTCTCCTTGATGTTTCACTGTTTCTGTCCTATATCCTGCTTGGCAATGCGAAGCAGGTCTCCTCATGGAATCACAAGACGTTCATGTTAATGGTTACATGGTTTTTGACATTGCCGTGCAAAGGTATTGGGTGACCTCGCACATCTCTGCGCTGGTGGACACGGAGTCGATGTTGTCAAGCTTTCGACACATGCTGCGCGGCGTGTGCGACGGGGAGGTCTTGCTGACTGAGGAGATGAAGATCAAGGTGGCTCTGCCAAACCCAAGAGTAAGTGGTCTGCGGGCATCAGGTGGGACGAAAACATGAGTCCAACCTAATAGCGTCCTTGTTCCTAGTAGCGATGCCCTTTGTTCCTAGTAGCTTCTTGCTCCTAGTAGTCAGGCCAGGAGCCCCTAGTTAGTAGCGTCCTTGCTCCTAATAGCAAAACTCAGAGGCAAGAATCTTAAAACATTAGATCTTGAGTTTGCAAAGGAAGGGTTTTAGAGTTCAAAGACATGCTGGCAACTTCCGCTGCAGTCACAGTCTGTGCCGCAAAGGAAGACGCAGAGTGCCTCAAGCATTTGCTGATGAACTCAGCTAGTTTCAAAGGACTGGTGAGCGAACATGGTTTCTAATGGCTTCTTGTTACTACTAGTAAGGCACTTGTTACTAGTAGCGATGCACTTGTTCCTAATAGCGGTGCAGCAATGCATTTCATGTTGTTTAGGCTCTTTCATTTGCATTCCATCAGATAATAAGGAATAATGTCCTTGAGAAGGAATCGTTTCGATCATGCGCCGGGGTCTTCAAGCAAGCTTCCTCCCCGCATTCAGCAGTGTAATTTTTTTGAACAACCCGATGACTTCTGTGTGATTGTTTCTAGCGAATATGTTTACCACCATATTAGCTTCTTTCTAGCCCCACCACAAAAGAAAAGAGAAAGAAGCAAAAGCATGAAGGAAAAGACTTTGAGAAGTTCCTTGACCCCGAAGAAGTGGCTCGGTTTCGAGACTTCCTGCAGCAATCCAACCGTGATGCTCTACAGCCAGAAGAGCGAAGGCCCAATACGCCTCCGTGTTTGCGCATTTCCCTAAGAGGTGCTTCAGATATACGCGTTGCTGGGCTGCACTTGCGAAAAACTGTTTTGGATGAGTTGCTAGCCAGTTGCAAGGTGAACTTCGTCGAATCAACTAGTATTCCTGTTGATCTTAAGAAGAATCACGTTCGATCCTCAGGTTGGCGTGGATTTGTGGCACGTACCGATGCGTGGGAAGGACGGCTCCATGCATCTCATCGCCTTGCGCGAAGACAGCGAGGCAGCACAGCGCGTGGTGCTTGCAGTGGAGGGCCAGAAGGACATAGCCATCCCTTTTTCCAAAGAAAGCGCCTGAGATGGGATAGTGATCTTTGGTTTGAACTCTTTTTTGGTGCATGAACTAGCGGAGGTTAGAGAGAGAGAGAGAGACAGAGACTGAGACTGCAACGAATTCTTCCGTACTGCTTGTAAAATCACCGTCACAGTAGTTTTAACCGATAGGGCTTCGAACAAATTGATCAGCTTGCTGAAGACTTGAAGAAAGCAATGCCAATGCTTCATTACAGGTGATTCGGAAACTACGTCGGAGACGCATTCGGAGTCTCAGAAGAGCTCACTTTCGTTTCTCCAGAGCTTTCCTGAGCTTTCGGACATGACCCTCTGTGTGGATACCTCAACGCATTGGTTCGACGTGGAACAGGCACGCTCTTACCCGAATATGAAAGAATACAGACTGGTCTGTGAGTCTAGAAGTGAAAAGAAAAAAGAGGAAGGCAAAGGGACGGCGACAATGACCTTCTAATTCTCTTATCCTAAAATCTTGTTGATCTTTCTTCTTTCAAAGGGCTTAATTCTTGGATTACACCCTACTCCTCTAGTACCCGACATGGAACAGGCGCACTTGAGCTTTGTTCGGCAGCCACAATCTTCGGACTTCTCGATGCCGAGCCTCAGACGTTTGGTGCGTCCCACGGTGACTTGGCGGATTTGGTTTCAGGTTCGACATGCCGCGATTGTAGAATTATCCTAGTAGCGTCCTTGTTCCTAGTAGTAAGGCCAGGAGCCCCTAGTAGCGTCCGATCGCTCCTAGTAGCGATGCCAGGAGCCCCTAGTAGCGTTCTTGTTCCTCCTAGTAGTAAGGCCAGGAGCCCCTAGTAGCGTCCGATCGCTCCTAGTAGAATTATCAGATGGATCTTTTTGAAAGAAGATATGACATGTGCCTGGTCCAAGGATTGGGAAACGGTCCGATCCAAGTTGAAAGCAGTTGCCGCGAGGAATGGGGAAGAGATCATGCGGTTGAGGCCGGGTTCAAGTTTGGTAGGAAACTGCACACAAGTCCCTAGTAGCGTCCTTGCCCCTAGTAGCGTCCACGCTCCTAAAAGCAAACTAGTAAGGCAGGACTTCGTGTTTGGGATTGGTTGCAACATTTTCCACTAGAAATGGACTTGAGAGACATCAGTTCAGGTAGGGTTGGACTTCCACGGTTGTGAGTGTTTCTTGTTCCCGAAAGCACCTGCGAAGGGTTCTTCGCAAAGAACGGCTGCCGACTTCAAATGTCCAACCATCATCATCACAATCATTTGCACAGTATCATCATCAGCAGTATGTTTCTTTCCATACACTTTGCATCCGGCAGATGGGGTGGACCGCTCCAACAGGAGATGAAAGA